TCGGTCGGGCACCCCCAGCCGAAAGGCCAGCCTTCGTGCCCGCTTCTCCGCGAGCGTGCGTGGGCTCTTTTCCTGTCCCTTCAGTTTTTACTGCCTGTCACTCTACCACATCGCCTGCGGTACCCTGGCACACCGGCTAATACCCTTTTCTCGCAGGTAACGTTTCGGACAAGAATCTACCACTGTAATATTAACAGCCAAGGCGTCATCTGCCTGGACATTTTAAAAGACAACTGGAGCCCAGCATTAACCATTTCTAAAGTCCTCCTCTCCATCTGCTCCCTCCTTACAGACTGCAACCCGGGTAAGTCCCCTGTGTGGCCAGGCAGGCCGCCTGCCGCCTTGCACCCCACCCGGCACCCAAATAACGTGGCCCTCGTCTCATCCTGTTGGCTTTGGCCAGCACGGCTCTGGCCTCCAGCGCAGCACGTTTCCCTCTCCAGGGCAGCCGGAGGAGGGCTGGAGGTGGTGGAGGTGATACACCCTACCTGCCTGCTGTTCACCGCTCCTCAGGCTGACCCGCGAGGAAAGCGGCGGTTCTCCTCCTGCACATGAAAACTCCTTCCCCTTCCAAACCAACTCTGGTTTTGGGTAAGGGTTAAACACTCTTCGCCGGTCTGTAGGACTGTAGTAATTCGGTAACGGAGCTAGAAGAGCCACAAACGCAGTTCTGAAAACAAGAGGATTAGCCTTTTGCTTTCCATCATCCATTTAAAACCAGTGACTAACCATCCTACAAGTAGTCCTCATTGCTTCTGTAACCCACCCGTTATCCACACCAGTTAAGAGGAATATGTCTTGGTTTCCAAAGTCAATTTTACAGGTTGTATTTCTATTTGTGTCTAAAGATGAGAGAAACACCAGATTTCACACTATATTATGTATAATAAAAATAAACTTGTCGGAAAAATAAAACTTCTCCTCGAGATCTGATCCTTCCTAGAAGGCAGATTTATATTGATACAAGTACACTTAGCAATGAACATGTCCCTGGCACTTTTAGAAAAAAATAAACCTGAAACGCATGAATCGGTGAAAGTCCTCAGTAATGCAAATTATGACTACTGGATTCTTGTCTTTTAAACTCCATAAAACTTGAATTGGCGTTTCGCTCTTTATTGAGTAATAGATTAGTACGTCACCATAAATACACACAAATCAATGAAGATACAGACCATCAACTCAATATATTTACATTGTTGCAATGTACCTTACCTGTGTTATTCCCTTGTATTGAATTCACACTTCAGCTTTATTTTTAAATTTTTATTCAGTAACTTGTCTGAAATAAGCGGTCTGTTTTCTTTTCTTTTCAGCTGACCCCCTGGTTGGAAGTATTGCCACTCAGTATATGACTAACAGAGCAGAGCATGACAGAATGGCCAGACAATGGACCAAAAGATACGCTACATAAATTGGATTTTCGTCAAACTCTTACATTATTTGTCTGTGATGGAAAGAGCTGCTTATGATTTTGAAGGGGTGGGGGGAGGGAGGGTGCTGGTAAAGAGTAGGGTATTTCTATAACAGATTTTATTCAGTCTTTTATTTCTTAAGATTTTGTTGTTGTAACTTAAGGTATCTTGCTACAGTAGACAGCTAGGATTGGGAATAGCATATTTTAAGACTGTAATTAGTTCAGCAATATTAGCTCACATATAGTACCGAGAAGAATGTAAACCTCTTAGACTTCTTTGGTTTTCAGTTTGCTTGCAATATGTAAAAGATTAAAATAGCTTAATTTTGTACAGGTACATATGTTGACATTTATGTAAAAGTCCTTTCAAGACTCTACACACTGTTTTTGCTTTTTGTTTTTTTGTTTTTTGGTTTGGGGGGGTTATTTTGTTCTGGGTTGGGCTTCTTGGTTTTTTTTGTAAAAAAATGTCAGGATTGTTTTCCCCTATGGAGGGCACATTGGTATTTAACAAATCCTTTTTAAAGACTGTCATCTCATGATCTGTGATACGGAGAGGTGGATATATGGCCTCATATATGAAATGAGAAGTAGTTAATGTATTATTTTATAAGCCAATCTATCTTTGTGAAAAGAATAAAGGGTTTAATCAGGACTTATGGTAACCTGTAGTGAAATACCTTAAGCTGTTTAACTGTAAGGCGTGGAATAGGAGTCACTCAGTGGATTGGTTGTATGTTGTGGGCTACTCAAGTCTGCATTTGTTACTGTGCTAATAAAAAGATGTTTAAAAAAAAAAAAAAAAAAAGAAAAGATTTCTGCTTAGTGCCTTGCTTTGTCATTTTGCCAGAACAGTGTCTCCCAGTACACTTTGAGGATTACAGTATGGATAAGGACAAGGGAGTTCTGCAGGTAAGTGCACTGACTGCTGCTATTTTGGGAAGTCCCTTCTAGAAAAGCTACAATGAATGACAGCTAAGACTTTTTCAACAGTTTACTGTGTAAGTGTTACGTGGGCTGGCACAACCCATGAGGAGGCAACCTGCAGCAGAGTCCATGCTAGTTAGTTTTTAGCTTAAGTTTTCACAGCATTGGTTTTTGGGGACTGGCACATTATTTGAAAGTACAACTGGAAAAGTGTGAGAGACCTGGAAGGGAAACCAGGCGGGAGGTAAAAGGAAGAAGAGAATATCTTCATGGTTTTCTGATGGAGCAGTCTATTCCCACTTGGAAGAGGAGAAGGAATTGTGTCCCGGTAAGCTAGCAGAAGACACCGTAAAGGAGGCTTAATCTGTAGATCCTTTAACTACCTACAAAGATTATCTCCTAGAGACATGGTGTTTACATTGAGGTGTGTAGCAACAGGGCAGTTAGTTGTGGATATGGCATTTTTGACCACTCCCTTAAGGTAAAGGCCGGAAGTACAGATTCATTTTCACACGGCAAGTACTTCACCTTGCGACATTCTTCTGAGCACTGTGTAGTCATCTGTGCTCTCAGATTTATTCTGGTACTTTAAAATAAATTCTTTATATATTTGATTTATATACTTCCTATCTATATATTGATGAAATCTAACTTGGTCCAAAGTAATCTGTTAATTAGAGGTACCCTTCCTTTGCTGGGTGATTGTGGATAGTAGTATTTTAGCCTCATCTGCTGAACTGCCGCCTTTTGACACAATGTATGTTTCAGTGTATGAGCTCCCTCAGCTGTTTGGCTCAGCCTAGGAAAATTCTTGGTACAGAGCTACATCACACCAGGAGCATCTCTGGTAATCCTTTCCTCCTCCCCTCTATTGAGTGAGGTGGTAAATGACTTAATCTCAGTAGGTTTTTGTCGGCTCCTTGCTTTGTGCTACCAGGACATGCCAAATTAGCTGTTGTAGCTGACAGGGGGGAGGGAGCTGATTTGGGGTGACTGATCAGCACAGTATGTATTCAGCAGGATAGACATTTAAGAGGAACGGAGAAAGATCGTTCAATTTACTAACTTTTTTATACTAATTTTTCTCCATTTTCTTCTGAAGGGACTGTCTAGCTCTGTAGTAGGTAAGTGATCCCAGTGACCTAGGACAGGTTTTGAGTCAGTGGAATAATAAGAACAAATACAAGTCCTGCTTTTTAGCTACTACATGATATTCTGTACTTTATTAACCCTAGGTAAAACTGTACTACAGTGAGTTTCATTTTGATTCATTACCAGCCACTGTGTGTAGATTTGTTTTCAGAGGAGACACTATATTTTCCATCACTTGTCAATAAAATACTATGGTATTTAGAAAAGGCAATTGATTTGGTGCTCAAAAAGTGTCAGGATAAGCTTGTGAAAGAAAACAGTGGGTGATGGTTGCTTATGTTGAATGCCCAAAATGATCTAAACTTGTTTCTAACAAATCAAAGATAACGTGTTTGCCTGTATGTAACCTGTTTGGAAAAACGCCCTTCATCATTCAGATGATCCCTTTTCCTCTTGTCTGTCTTAAAACACTGTCAAATCCTGAGAGTCCAGGGGAGCGAGTGAGCAAGCTGATCTCATGTGACATGGCTCTGGCAGCCTACAGGTGACATCAGTCTTGGCAGCGGAATTGGCACCGAGCTGCAGGGTGCAGAACTGGACAAGAACCAGTCATCTCCGTTCCTTCCATCTCCACGCATTTTGAGTTAATTCTGACTTGTCAACCTGCACTCCCTCGGCTCAAGGGCCAGCTTCATTGATGACGTGCAGTTAGGAGAGGTTTTTGGTTATTTTGATTGATCCAAAGCTGAATCAAGTCCCTTCTAGATGAAGGGTTCTGCAGAGCTGAAGAGGAGGAACATAACCAATTCCTTGGTGAGAGATTGCAGCAAGGAGGTGGATCGCTGCTGCTCTGAAGTCACCCCCACTTCCCAAGCATGCAGGCAGATGCGGCGTCTTCTGGGTAGGAAGAAGCCTTGAGTACATGTGTGTTCGGTAGGAAATGAGTGAGGAGGGAGTGTTGTTCTGCAGCATCGCTGGGGACAATGACTATTACTAACCTGGTTTGGGGAGGTCATGCTATAGTGCTTAGTCAGCTGCAGTGTTGCAATGGAAACACTTGTATGTTTCTAGTAGGGCATTACAAGAGCTTGCTCATTCATAATTGCTCTCTTATCTTACTCCTTGGCCACAGCAATCCAAACTGTATTGAGCAAAGCACATAAACAGTTTCGTCTACCTTCATTATAAAGGTAGGAATACCTGCTTAATTTTCAGTGAACTGTACTGCTGCTCTGACATTAGTAATGCTGACTGACTTTATTTGTCAGTATTCAGGAAGAGCAATCCTATAAGCACACAGCTTAATTGTGATCATTAAGCATGCTTATTATTTAGCAGTTATGATATGACAGTGCAAATATTGCTCGTGGTTTTGCTGACTCACAGTGAAATTCTCAATATTTGTTCAAAACAACATTAATTCAGTGGAAAATGAGGGAACTGGGTACTTCAGTTTACTCCCTCTCCCCACTCTTGTCTTCAAAGAAAAGCTAGTATCAGTATAAGAGGTTGTTAGAGGCCAAAAGCTGGCCACTCTCTCTGGGAATGGTTGTTCATTCTGTCCCTCTCTACCCAATCTTGTTCTAATTTACTGTCAGGCTGACCTAGGACAGCAGATTCCTGCAGCACAGGTTTACCAGCATGGAGAGTCAAATTCAGCACATACGGTTGTGCTCCTGCTGCTGGATGATGTGCGGCATATTAAGACCAAGGCCATTTGTACAAGTATTTCTGGGCCTCTGCCATGGGGATGTTCCCAAAAGGCATCCTCCTACGCACCCTAGCTCCCTCTCACAAAGTAGTACAGCGCTTCGTACCGGTTGTTATCTGGCTTGTAGCTACGTACTGAGGGCGGATTACTGCAGCTTGGCTGAACGGCTGCAGTAGGAGTATTATGCAATGCACTAAGCAGAGCCCGGGCAGTACCTCCTGCATACAAAATTGCTCTGTATAATTTCTCAGTAAAATTATCACGTATGCGAATGTGACTGATTTGTACTGGACATGTTGGAACAAAACCACATACAGCTATGTTGTCCTTCAGGTTGCAGTTAAATTAATAAGTGCTCTGAGAGCTTTTCTGGTTTGTACAAATAAATTCCTGAGCTGAAAGCACTACTGGCCAGACTTTGCTGACAAGCTTTGTGTCGGGGTAGATCTGTTCTGGTATCTATCTCCCACAACATTTGGGGTGCTTTCTTTTTCTTTTCTTTCAGGCACTAGCAGAGCTTGAGCAGCTAAATGAGCTGGTAGTTGTTCCTCCTGCCCCAAACGTTTCTCCTGCAACAACACACTGACCTCAGCCTCCTGCAGCACCAGAAAGCCCTGTGGCCCTGTTTAAGGTCAAGGTAAAAGGACTGTTGCCATTTCAAGCATATCCTCTCTCCAAATTGAATGCTTATTGCAGCTAGCACTCTCTGTGACTAGAGGCTATAGATATGCAGGGGGATTGCTTAATGATAAGCTTGTTGATTTTTCCCTCAACACGGCTGTATCCAGGCATAGTCAAAGCCCCTGCTAGAAAGGTGTCCACCCGTCACTCCATAACCCTTGTAGCAAGATAACTCCTCTCGTGAAGTGCTTTTTACGGCTTTTACCACCAGTGACTTTTCCAAGCCAAGTCCGTGAAAAGGAAGGATACCTCTTAGCCATAAGCTTGCTGATTTTATTGCTGAATGAGATTATTGCTTTAAGTGAAACTGTGAGAAGCAAATGGCACAGAAAGGACTTAGGCTGTGACCTGGCAGCAGCAGACAATGCTAAGGTGGCTTAGTTATCACAGTTATTCCCTTTGCTTTTCCTTCCAGGCAAGGGAAATGTTGATTTGTTCTGGGACTGGGAGAGTTTGCTAGCTAAGAAGGTGAAGGGCTCAAGCAGTGTTTTCCGATCTGTCACAGTCACTTCCCACAGTCTCACTTTCTCGGCCCTTGCCCATTGCTGTGCTGCTTCTGTTTCCACTTGCCTTTGGTCCAGGAGGTCAGTTTTGTTTCCCAAGACAATAACTGTTACCTACAAACAAAACAAAAGGGTGAGCTTTATACCAAAAGCATCCACCATGCACAATGCTTTTAAACAGCAGGCAAGTAGCAACGCAGTTCCGACCCGTTCTTTAACTTAGCACTAGCACCAGGTAAGCTGCGTGTAGTTGGAAGATCAGGGTCTGGGATCTGAGTTAGCCTCATCTACTTGTGGGCTGGGAGCTGGTTTTAATCATAGGATATGCAGGACTTCCCCTTCTCCCCCTGATTGCTTAAAGGGAAACAATACCCAAGAGAGCCAAAGTTGAACAGCCTTATTCTCAATTTACGTGGCAATTGAGCTGCCCTAGACAAATGATGAGAGCATGACATCTGAATAGGTCAGAGCAGCGGATGCTTGCGAAATGAAAAAACGCATCACAGCAGAGAAAGCCCAGACCCCACAGCTGTGGATTTTGCTCAGCTTGTTTCTTCTCAAGCCCCAGCCTGCAATATAACCGAAGCCAACGCTGCCACGGGGCAGCCTGTGCAAGCAGCCCAGGCGGGCTGAGCTGCGGAGCCGCTCTCCCAGCCCAGCTGGCTGCCCGCTCCCACAGGCATGGTAAGCCCCCAGAGGGACCTAAGTAGACAGCCTTCTGTCACCGAAAGGGTCAGAAAAGCACCAGTACCACCCTCTCGGAAGCAGTTTCAAGAGCAGCTGGTTAGCTAACCAGAGCAGCACAGCTGTATCAGGTCAGACCTTTAGCTGTAAGGATCAATCAAATTACTTCTTTATCACTGAGACAGTACAG